GTTGTGTTCTAATTGTTACTTATGTTATTGGTAGATGAGAGAAAAAAAACAGGTGAGGGAGGAGACTGAAGAGAAGAAGTGAAGATATATGTAATGTGTATGTGGTGTGTGTAGAGAGAAATACGGATAGATAGATAAATGGAGAGAAAGAGAGATAGATAGAGAGATTTTTAGAGAGATAGATAGAATAGATGATAGATATGATAGATAGAGATAGATAGAGAGAGATAGAGAGAGAGAGAAAGAAAGAAAGAAAATGAATCCCAGAAATGAAGGGTATGGGCCATGTTACCTAAAATAAATCGAAAGCGCCCATTAAAGAATAAGCGAAAAATATACTGCACACATATACATCACACACAAAAGCACAATAAGATTACACATAACACACATCACAAACAAACACAAACGCAACAAATAATTCAACACACAAACACAACAACACCTCGAACAATCATCATAACAAACAAACATCACACGCTCTCAAAATATCCCACACACACATGTGACAAACAATCACACAACACACACGACGGGGGATCAAAGGTCCACCCACAGAGCACACAAAGCGTACTGGCTGTCTGCTGCCCCGGTACTGAGCAACTCTGTCTACTGGAGGTCTAAGAATTACTCGCGGTATTAAGGCAATGCCAGAATTACACTTTGCCCTTATATGGCGATTGCCGTTTAAGAAGTAGTGTGTGAGTCTTGACTCTCTTTTGTTTTCCCTTTTTTTTGTCATTGTTTCCTACATATCTGCGCGTTATGAATGTTGTGGATTTCATTTTGATGAATTGGCATGAATATATATATTTACTGTGTATATGTATAATATATACTACATATAATTACTATATATACATCATAGATATATAATATATACTTATAATATAATATACTATATATGTAATAATAATACTATAATATATTATATATATACATAATATATGTATATAATATATATAACTCAATATATATTAACTATAAATATATAATACTATACTATATATGATTATAATAATACGATATATATATGATAATACTAATATATATATCACAATATATACTATATAACCATCATACATCACTATAACATCGTACAATAGTATAATACACCTATACTAGTCACTATATATATAATATTACTAAAATATATAAGATACAATTAAATAATATATCTACTAATTATACACGTCATGTATATTAATACATAATATACTCATACATATAAACTATACTATACTATATTATATATATCTATTGTGCTGTGCCACCAGACACCATGCACAGCTACACACCTGCATAGTTCACACCATGGTGGCTGGTGTGTGTATGTTTGTGTGTCCTGTGGTGATTGCACCCTGTTGTGTGTGCACCTCACCAAACACACAATTCGTGCAACCTGAGGTGTGTGTGACTCTGTGTGTATGTATGTGTGTTGTAACAACACATGTACTGTCCACCAACCCTACAACATGTCGCGTCAACCTACAGTCCTACTACACCTGGTAATACATACTACTAACCAAATACCAAAATATATAGTATATATATAATATATAACTACTAACACCTATATAACAATATATCGTATTATCATTAATCGTCAATCATATAAATATTAATAATATATAAATTATATAATATAATATATATATATATTTTTGTTGGTGCACTGTGTGTGGTTTCCATTCATCCTAAACCTGTGTGTTGTCCTACATAGTGATAACCAATCTGTGGCGGTGTGTGTCTGATGTGTTGTTCATCTTCGTGACACAACCAGTGTGTTATATACTATTAAACCCTGTGTGTGTACTAATTGTGACCACCCTAGCTTGTTTCTACTTATGGTTCTCCTGCCTGTGTACTTACTTAGATGTTGTACTCACATCTACGTGATACCTATCCACCCTAATGTTGCTCATCTCCTCTCAATACTATATCTATGCTACCTCGTTGTTGTCTCATGTGATAAGCGTCGTTTACTATAAATTCACCCCAACCCAATCAAAAATCATGGTGTGAACTGCATCAACCAACAAGTGCACAAAACACACCGCACATCCTAACAACTGCCCTGACCACATAACACCATGTGAACACCACCACACCAAACACACACATGTGATCTTGCTAGCCACCACACACCTGACCACACCCAACACCACCACACCCTGCCTGTCAGGTGACATGTGTGTGGTGTGCTGTGTGGTTCTTGCTAACGTCACAACACAACACTGGTAAAATACACACTACATACTAATATATAATTATATATATTAATAATAATTACTATACTATTTACTATATATTATCAATATATATATCTTATATAATATATATACATATAATAATAATATATTATAATATATATATGATTAAATTTAATAATATAAATATATAACTATAGTATGATATATTAACATATATAATATATATTAAATAATATATAATATATTAATATCATATATATTATATATATGCCTAAATAAATAATGATTATTATTAATTACAATTATACAATATACATTAATAATATTAATAATATATATAAATAATATATATATATAATATATATATATATTATAACCAATATATATATAAATATATCAATATATATATATATAAATTGTATATATATATACATATATAAATTATTATATATATTAATATTATAATATATATTATATAGTATATATATATATATAGTAATGAGTCGTTGTGATTGTGTGTGTGACATGTGTGACCTTGTGTGTGTGTTAATAGTGTGATGTGTGTTGTTTGTGTGTGTGTGTCGTGTTGTGTGTGTGTGTCTTTGTGTTCGTATATATAATATATAAATATATATTATATATATATATATATATATATATATATATATATTATATATATATATATATATATATATATATATATATATATATATATATATATATATATATATATATTATATGTATATATATTATATACTATATATATATATATATATATATATATATATATATATATATATATATATATATATATATATATATATATATATATATATATATATATATATATATATATATATAATATATATATATACATATATATATATATATATATAATATATATATATATATATATTATATATATATATATATATACATATATATATTATATATATATATATATATATACTATATATATATATATATATATTATATATATATATACACACACACACAGGATATATATGTATGTACTATATATATATATATATATATATATATATATTATATATATTATATACTATATATTATATATATATATATAATACTATATATATATATATATGCGTGTGTGTGTGTCGCATGTGTGTGTAATCTGTGTGTGTGTGTATGTTACACATACCACACACATCCACACTTAGACAGACAAGCATTCATATGCATAAATCCCCACGCACACGGTGGGTCTCGGGCGAGTGCGTGTACGTGTGCGTGTAAGCGTTCATCTCAACCCTCGTCTGAGTCACAGTTTCCTAAACGCGTGTCGGAACAAATTTCGAATTCGGCGACAAGAAACGCGTTTGTCTCGTGCTGGTCCGAACGCTTGTAAACACACACATGTTCGACTGTTAGCAAGGGTGTGTTCGTAAGCCCTGTGTTGCTCGACATGGGTGGGGAGGGACGCCGCGCGCGCACTATGTACTTATTATGGATCTGTGGGGATTTTCGACTCTGTGTGTCTGGTGTGTGTGTGTGTGTGTGTGTGTACTGTGTGTTGTGTGTCTGCTTTCGCCTTTGACTGTCGGTTGTTCATATTTATTATCATTTTTAAATATCTCCCTTTTCGCTTTCTCCCTCTCTTTCGTCATCTCTCGGTATTTGTGCGTCTGTCTGTGTCTCTCATTCTCTCTCTTTCTTCCCCTTCTATCTAACAAAATTTAATTGTTTTATGCACTAATATCTCGGTGTTTATCATAGCCTTCCCAATGATTTGATTTTCAGATATCACTTCTTTATTCTTATGTCATATTCCTTGAATTAAGCCTGATGTATATATGATGTTCTTTCATTTAATTTTCTTCTTTATTCTCATTTTTTTTTAAGTTGCTGATATTATCAAAACGGGAACAGAGAACCCCGAGCGACAGACCCCGAGAGACACGAGAGAGAAGGAGAGAGGACCCCCCCCTCGCACCGAGAAGGCCACGACACACACTCGTCCTCCAGCTCACCCTCACTCAGACGGCCGGGACCGAGGAGAGAGAGAGAAGAGAGACCAGAGAGACTCTGACGAAGCAATGACTCGCAAGAGACGCACAGCGGGGCGGAGGCAGGAGAGAGTAGAGACAGACGCACGAGAGAGCAGAGCAGAGACGCAGAGAGAGCCCCAGAAACCGGACCCACCCGAGCACGAGAGAGAGAGAGAGAGACGCCAGAAGACGAGAGGAGAGCATGAGTATCCTCGAGAAAGACACGACCAGAGACAGCAGATGCAGAGAGAGACGAGAACCAAATTCGAGATTAGAGAGAGACGAAGAGACGACGACGAGAGAGACGAGGTAGAGAGAGAGAGACAAGGGGCGGAGGGACGGGAGAGAGAGAGAGAACCCCCAGCCGACGCACCCCCGAACCGACGATGAAGGACCCCCCCCGAGAACGTAGACGAGAGGAGAGACCGAGCAGAGAGAGAGAGAGCACGAGACAGAGAGCGAGAGAGCAGAGACGAGAGAAGAGNCATCCCTGCAGTAATATGTGTGCACCCAACAGTTCTTCATTTGTTTGGCTGCTAGTGGAGAACAATCCCTTAAAAGAAAGGCTAAGTTCTCTTTTTTTAGTCTCATTAAAAAAAGAAGGTAAGAGAGTGGGGTAAATGTATGTTTCCCTTACTTCAGATTTTTCACTTGTGTGGCTGACTCCACAGTGTACTTGTTATGGCACAGGGAAATCCAGTCATGATTAAGCTAAAGCCATCTTTTTGAAAATATGTAAGGTATATATAACCCTTATTTATGGCTGAACTTTCTCTTCCAGCATTGTGTATGGGCAGTTGAGTCCAGTGTGTGCTATTGTGGGTGGAGTACTGGCCCAGGAGATCATCAAGGCTGTGTCACAGAAGGATCCTCCCCACAACAATTTCTTCTTCTTCAACACCCAGGATGGCGCTGGTGTTGTGGAATGCATTGGACATTAACTGTCAGACTGTAACCTTATAAACAAAATAAAAATGAGTAAGATACAAGATATGGGATTTCTTTGTATATATGCCTAAGGCAAGAGAACATAATATATTTTGTTACCATGCTTTCTTTGTACCTTATACTTCTAGTATTTGCCAAATTACCAATGTCAGCGCTACTCAAAGAGAAGTACTCTTACTGGTGCTGTTATGTTAGCTATGGGCTAACATAACAGCACAAGAATAGTTATATTGAAATGGATACAAGAAACGGGCCAATTTTCATTATTACTTCCATTGCAATTTCAAGTATAAATTAACCTGATGCTGCTGAGGATGGCATGTTCTTACATGCCATGCCCAATGTGAGTTTAATTTATTAATTGTGTTTACACATGGGTGGCTCCACAAGTACTTAGTTACCAAGGAATTAGTTAAAGGTACAGACTATCTCATCTGTTTCCCCATTTCCTTGATTTTTGAAAAATTTTCTTTCAAATTATATTGCTATTAGTAATGTTTTACAAGATTATGATAATTATAATGTCTATAGTAATGATAAGCACATTGATATTGATTTTAAAAAATCAGGGAAAGGTGACATCAGGTGAAGTCACATGGCTTACTGACTGACTCCTTGGTGGCTGAGCACTTATGAAGCCATATAACTAATAATATTAATTTTCTTCAATTTCATTTATCCTATCTCAGTGACCATTGTTAATAAATGGCAGTACCACTTTTATGTTGATTGAGGAATTCTGTGGTCCTTTTATAATTTAGTATTTGTTATTATTATCATTTCTTTTATTATTTTTTTTAAATAAAGCAAGACTTTAAAGGTTCCTAAATGCTAATCAGAAAAACTTTCTTCCTTTCTCAACTTCTAAGTATATAACTCAGTTTCCATACACTGATAATTATTTTTAACTGTTTCAGGATACCAGATCCAGTGTTTGATGAAAACAAAGTACATGAGCTATGGAAGAAACAATTTTGTATAATCCAAGAGAGTACAGGCATGTCTAGTTTAACAGGCATCTCCAAGAAATGATGTCAGAAGATGGCAAACTAGTGAGTAAATAATTGACTTACAAGTGTAATCAGTTGTTAAACCAGAATGTTTGGTTGCCTCTGATGTCACTTCTCATCCATACCTGTTGATCAGGCCTGATTGTCTGGTCATGCTTAAACTTGTCATAAATGTTCTGAGAGTTTGTGTGAAGTGATTCAATTGATTAATTTTCTTGGTAATAATAAAATATTTTGTATTTACTTAATTTTTCTCTCACCCAAGGGAAAGTTTGGCAAATTATTTTCTTTTCAACTTGAACATAAAAAGTTATACTGTATATAGCATGTGCACTTTCCACAAATAAAAAAAAATTGTCTGATAAGTCATAATTATATATAACAGCCAAAGATCCCTGATAATGTTTATAACATTTGAATTATTTAATCAGACACATTATATAAAATTATTAAAAACCCTAGATGCTGCATGGATAAAGCTTTTCAGGGATGTATTTTTCTGTAAAAACTATAATTCTAGTGTCAAGAACTAGAAGGGCCAATACCAAAAATTACCAATTTTAAGATTAACCAATCACTGAGCTGGAAAATGTTGTTTCTATCAATGCTTTAAAGGTCAGTATTGCCAGTGCATTTGACATACCATACAAGCATTGTTACAATGCTTGATTCAATATTGAACAGAACCTTATGTTATGGAAGGGTTGGTATTTTGAGTTTCAGATTTGTCTTGTTCTAATTCATGTTTCTAATAGTTGTTCCAGCCTTGTAATATTTAGATGTGCCACACATACCCAAAGTAGTTAGAAAGTCAGGGATACCAAGTTTTGTTGTGTTAACATTCACATCCCTCACTTGGACTAAAATCTGGGCATTAGACATTCTTGATTGGCAACTCTCCTGGGTGTGTGGGTTGTAGGCTTGACCCACATGAACATTCATGTAATATCAAGCTTCCCCTTTGCAATGTTGCTATTTCTTTTTCTGCATAAGCTTCATTTGCTTTGCCATTTTTCAAGATCTACATGTGTTACATGATATGCTGTATCAAGATGGTAATTGACCGTTTCCCTTGCAGACTCCATATCATCTCTCTAGGTTGTCTAGAACTCTGCAATAACAGTAATAATAAGTAGCATTGTGTTATTTGTGTAATTCTTTATATTATGGCAGGCAGGAATGAAAATGTTTTCCCTGGGGCCAGCATTCTTCCAGCTATGGCTCATGGGTGGTACATTCCACCCACATTTATTGGTAGAAATAATGCAAGAGTTCCTAAATGCCCACTGAGTCTAATCTTTCTCCAAAAGCTTTGTATACCCATGACAAGTCATTCCTGTCACCTGAGGCCTCTGCCAAATTTTTTCATGACATGATGGTTTGGTCACCCTATCAACAAAAAGTTACAGCATTTTTAGTGAGGATTGTTCAAGGCTTTTTCACAAACAATAATTAATGGCTAATGGTTACAAAGCAAAATAAATGTGTTAAGACATTAAATGTCATAAAGCACTATTAAATGGTGTAGTAATGAAAAAAGTAAAGGCAGATGCTATGTTACTATTCACACTGGAAAAAATGCCGCTGAGCTGTTTTCAAACAAGCGTCACATGACTCAGTGGCTGCAGTGGAGACAATACTCCATGGTATCTTAAGGATTTTGAATGCTAACTCTTGCACCAAATAAAAAAAAAAAAAGTGGGGAGAAGAAAATAAGTCCAGGAGATCAATTTGGTAAGGATGAAGTTTAGTTATTATCATCTAATGCATGAGCTGGAAGACAAAGAAATTCAAACAATATTTCAAACTATCTCCCAGATTGCAGAGGACTTGCAATGTAAGACACTCTCACCGCCTGAGCTATGTTTTAAAAAATCGCTGGCCTGGCGACTGATTAAGCCATGCATGCAACATAGCTTGGATATTGCACATAGCTTCACAACCTGTATGAACACACTCATTGAAAATACACCAAGGAGATTGAAAGCCACACAGCTTTGCATTGGGTGCATAGTGTAATTTTGCTCCTGGTGTAAACCTGCCTGAAAGGGAGGGGGGGGGGTATTTGATGATTAAATGTACTGCACATCAAAAGTCATGCAGCAGTTAAGGATAGTATGGCATTGAAAGGGGCAAAGAGAGGTGAAGGTAGAGAGGGTGAGTAAGGCTAATTAGATCAAAATTGTGCATGGATGTCCATAGGGTAAGGTAGGGACTAGCAAAAGGATGAAGGGGGTTTTAAGAGCAATTAGATTAAAGATAAGTATTAGAAGAACTGTCAGGAGGGAGAGAATCCAGGGAAGGGGGAGGGGTTTTAACCAAAGGGAGTCACATGTGTATCCAGGAGGAAGTGGAAGGAATAACAGGAAAGAAAGGGGGGATGGCACATGTTGGGAGGGGGTGGGAGTAAGGGGTGAAGAGGGAACATTAGTAGGAGGATGAATGTTGGCAGTCACATTAAGTGTAGAGGGAATGGGAGCAGGGAGATCAGAGACTAGATGAGGTGTATGCATGTTATCTTTGGTCATGAATAGATAGTTCTGAAAGTTTTTGAGTTTCTAAAGTGGAGTTTGTTGGGAATTTCTGAGAAATGAATGTTTTATAATGGAAAGAAGAGGGGACAGTCGTTTGAAGGATGGAGGAAGAGGTTGATGTAGGTGAGGATGTAGTAGGAGATGGGGGGGAACCTTTAGCTTGGCTTTTGAGATGAGTTGAGTGAGGAGGATGAGAGTTTGGTACTGTGCAAGTAGAGATTGGAGTGTCTGGATTTAGAAGGGCAAAAGAATTTAACTAGGAGATGGAGGGAGCAGAAGTGGAATGAGGAGGAATTACTGGGGGGGATGTAGAAACATATTTGGAGTGAGGGGGAGGGGCAGAGCAAAGGGCACCACTGAAGTAGCAAGTAATAGAAAAATATTGTTTGCATGCATCCTGTCTAACCTCTCAGTGAGGCAAAGTTCGATCTGAGAATTGCAATCTCAGATTCAAACTTCTAGGTAGGAAGGCCCCTATAACATATGTTATAGGACCCACCACAATTGGGACATGTGTGCATGATTGTGAATAGCAGTTTGATCAATTATGACCAGGTTGGACATATAAAGAGCATCAGGCTGTGGGGTGCCAGCCTGATGCCAACAATTCAGACAATGAGAGAGGTTGATATGGTCAGACAGGGATGGACTCCTATATAAACATCATGGGGAAGTCATGTCTATGGAAAGTAATCTTGGCAATGCTGGTGGAGGACTTGCATCTACCAATAGGGGTAATGGTGTACAATCATACTGATACTGACTCACAGTCAACAAGGAAGGCAAGTAAGTCTTCTCCAGTCTGACTAATCTTTCTTGTAGATAGGACAGTCTGCCATGGAGATGGATGCAGTTAAAAGTAATGAGGGAAGGATGAGGATGAGCATAAATGGGTTTGTCAGTGAAATTAGTCAGAGTAGATAATGTTTTAGCTTGGGATTTGGATGTAACTGAGGTGACAAGGCAGTAGCAATCAGGGTGGCTTTAGAAAGAAACTTTGCCTTTTTGTTTTTGGGAGGCATTGTTGGAAGAGGAGTGTGTCGTTAGAGTATGGGGATGTACAGGGGATCACAAAAACACAATCCCATTTGGGATTGCTGGGCTAAAAAAAAGTAATCAAAAGGTTTGTAGAGGTGGTGGTAGTAGAAGTGGGCCTTGTGGAAGAAGTACTACTGCGGAGGGGTGGACAATATTTAGTTTATTTATTAATTGAAAATTTTCTGCCTTATCAATTTCTAAGGTCATCTAAGGTCATCATCAGCTTATACAAAATATAACAATAGGACAAGGCTTGGGGGTGAAGCACCAGGTAAGAAAAGGTCATACAGCATTATGACAAAGTATTGTGGCAAAAGGGAAAAAAAGTAATTAACAATTAGGACAAAATATGTTAGATAATGGCTGTAGATAGCACTGGAGGTTAGTGTGATGGTGAAAATGGTAAAGAGGGAATAGCAAATGGAGTATGTAGGACCTTCAGAACTGACACAAATTCATCCTTTCAACATGGTTTAGGATGTGGACAGAAGGGGATGAAGAGAAGGAAAAAGAAAGGTGGAGAAGAAAAGACCTTGCAAAATTTGTTGAGACGAGGGCTGAGGTTCAATGTAGGGGTGATCCCCTACATTGGACCCCAGTCCCCTTCTCCCAAGCTCCCCAATAACAACAATGGGCATGGGATTGGGGAGGAGGTGGACAATAAAGCTGAGAAATAGTAATAAGGGTGGAGGGGGTAGTAGATGGAAGAAGACTGTGGAGGTGGAGAATGTTGGGAGAGGAGGCATGTTTTCTGGAGGTTGAGTAATGACCTGGGTGGGTGACTTGGACTGTACTAAGGTGACAGTAGGCATTGAGGAAGGGGTTGTAGTAGTGTTCCGAATCGTGGTCAAAGGAAAGCCTGGGTCAGGGAACCGGGGAAATTAAAATCATTGGGGCTAGGTGATATAGGGGCAAGCCTCAATACCCCAAATGAAGTATACAATCTTCATTACTGGGTATAGAAGGGAAAGGAGAAGAGAAGATTGTGCAAAATTAGTCGAGTTGAGGAATGAGGTCCAAGGTAGGGGTGATCCCTAGCATTGGGCATCAATCTCCATCTCTTAAACAATGCCCTGCCCCCAAGGCAACAATGGGCATGGGATTGGGGGGGTTCCACAAAATATTTATTGCAAATACAAATGGTTTCTAAAACTTTTAATGGTCCTTGCAATACTAGAAAAGGAAACAATGTTTTTTTTCTGTAACTAAATTCTAATTTATAAAATTATTAAACTAGAAATAAATGATAAAAAATGCATTTTTTTCATTTTTTCAACAAAAAACAAACAAAAACAAAAAAACAAGTAAATGCTGAAAATCTGGTTCTGCAGACATCCAAATAATATCAAGTTCATTAATGATATTTATTGAAAATTTTCTACAATGACAACACCTAAGGTTATTAGCAGCATATACAAAATACAGTAATATGGCGAGGCTTGGGGCAATGCCCCCCCCCCCCAGGTAAGAAAAGGTCATGCAGAATTATAATAAAGTACTGGGACAAAAAGGTTACAAATGAGTTAACTAGGACAAAATATAATAGATATCAAAGGTTGTTGAGTTCTTTTGGTTAATATGGTAGTGAAAAAGATAAGAAGGGAAAAGCAAATAGAGTACAAAGACTGTTCAGGACTGACAGAGCCAGACTTTCATCCTTTCAGCACGGCTCTCACACTTTAGGATGTGGGCAGAGGAAAGGGATGAAGAAGAGAAGGAAAGAGAGAGGAGGAGAAGAAAAGACCATGTAAAATTAGTTGAGGTGAGGGGCTGAGGATCAAGGCAGTGGTGATCTACATTTCAGGTAGTTTAATGAGAAATAAAAATACCAGCATGTGGATGTTCATTTGTTCATTAATTATCTTTCCTTGGTTCTGCCAGACTGAATGTGAAGTAAATCTCTTGTAGACAACATCATGGCCACTGACTGCAAAATTTATATGAAGGCAGAGCCTGTCAGGTAGTGCTCAACTGGCAACACTTCTTAACCTTGGAAAACTGCACTTTACTATGCTGAAAGTCCTAACACATTCATCTACAAGTAAAAAAAAAGATACCAGATTAATGTCATGTTACCAACTGCATTTTTTTCAAACTTGTGTATAAGCTACAGGGTATTAAAATGCTCATATATTAGAAATAATAAGTGCAGTCATCTGTTACTACATTTGAGATCTAAAAGTACCACAACCCAAAGTATATTTTCATAAATACCTTATTCAGATATGTATATTTATTTATTCAAAAATTTCTGCTGCTTCAAATATTTAAGGTCATTAGCGGCATATTCAAAATATAGCAATAGGATAGGGCTTGGAGTGCAAAGCTTATAGAGCACTAAAATAAAGTATTGTGGTGAAAAGGGTAAAAATGAGTTAACAATTAGAACAAAATGTTATACATGGGACAAGCATTTGGGGGAATAGAAACAGTTCCAGTACAAGTATTAACCCAGTCCTGACGGGTAAAAATGTTTGGCAAGTGACCGTGAGAACAGGATTGTTGGCGCGCATCAGCAGCTTTTATTTTGCTATAATTTATAAAAATATTATAATTTTGAAGGTTTACCTTCATTATAGGTGCCATTGCCTAAATCTTTACTATGTAAATGAAGTTATTATCGGAGAAAAATAAAACTCCGTCCGACGAGCCAGTGGCGTGGGAATGGGCATGATACAATGCCATCCATTTTTCGGTCCACAACAGCCATAGCATGTATGGTACATGCCACTCGTCGGCTATAGGTTAAGAGGAGGTTGAATAGGAGAATGTTGGAGATGAGGAAGAGGTGCTTCCTAAGGGTTGAGCAATAACCTGGGTGGGGGCCTTGGAATGGTTAGTTGTTTGTAAGCATCAAAGAGAGGGTATTAACATCAGCAGTCGGAGCTGAGGTCTAAAGAGGGGTAGGGGTTGGAAAACTATCAAAATCAAATTCAGATAGGCTATTTGATGAAGGGACAAGCCTTAATGCCTCTATTAAGGGTAAGGAATCTTCATTACTGCCCATGGTGAGCCTGAATAAACTGGAGAAAAGAATCGGTCTACCCCTCAGGTTCCCCATAAGGGGTAAGAGCTAAGTAATCAACCAAGGGAATACCGTGCCCATGGCTCCCGGAGGCCGTTCATGACTGACAAAAAGCCAGACTTTTATCCTTTCAGCATGGCTCTCACACCTTAGGAATAGGATAGAAGAGAATAAGGAAGATACGGAAGAGGAAAGAAGAGAAGAAAGGACCAAGCAAAATTAGTTGAGGTAATCCTCTACATTGGGTCTCGGTCCCCATCTCCTAAGCCCTCCCATGACGACGAGCTAGGTTTTGGGAGGGTGAAGAAGAGAAGGAAAAGGAAAGGGGAAGAAGAAAAGACCATTCTTAATTAGTGCAAGTATGGGCTGAGATCCAAGGTAGGGGTGATCCTCTATATTGGGGACAATATAGGGGAACAAAATGTGTTGGATATCAAAGTTTGTAGAGCGCTATAAGGTTAGTAGAGTAGTGAAATGGGTAAGTAAAGAAGGAACAGCAAATGGAGTGCAGGACTGACACAAATTCAACATTTCATCCTTTCATCATGGTTCTCACATCTTAGGAAGTAGACAGAACAAAGGGATGAAGAAGAGAAGGAAAGGAAAGGGGGAGAAGAAAAGACCATTCATAATTAGTTGATGCATGGGCTGAGGTCCAAGGTTGGGGTGAACCCCTATATTGGGACACTTATGTTCCTTCATGAGAACAATGAGCAAGGTATTGTGTGGGGCCATTGATGTTTATAGCAAAATATTAGATGTGGATACAGAAATGAAAAGAGCAGGATTTTGTAATTTTATTCTGACAAGTAGTAAATATGGTACAATCCCCAGATAAACCATGAGACAGGACGACTAGTGAAAGTGCATTTGGGGCCATGAAATAATTGATACAAGATTTTTGTACACATTGTAAATGTCATAACTCAAAATTAACACATTTACATTTCTATTTACAACAAGCCTCCATAACAATAATATCATATATGAAACAAAATAAAGTTTCCATCATATTTAATAATTACAATAAAAAAAAATCTTCATTTACATATCTTGTACACCAGTGTACTTTCACAAAATCACAAGTAAAATGGTTTCAACCAAAAATTTTACTTCTACTAAGTAAATAGTTTGAGTTGGTTTTGTTTGAATTTAAACTTTGTTGTAAGACCCTAGGCTTACCAAAGCACATCTGTCCCGCTGAAATTCCAATGCACTTGCGCAATCTTGACTTCTGTCATCAATGAAAGTTATTTGGTTGCTTGTCTTTACTTAAAGCTGAAGAAATTTGTTTGATGGATACAATTTCCTAACATATATCATGAATATAAATATGGTATTTGGATTACATTTGAATGAGTAATATATGGAGATTACAGTACTCCTCAAAATTTGAAGAAAGAAAATGAAAAAAGTAAAGAGAGATAGAACAAAAGAAAAAATGCATGTACTGTAATCCCATTTCTCTGTACCTGAAGCAACTACAGGAGTATTCAGTGTTAATCAGAAATTCCTAAAAATTTACTGGTTCTCAATTTCTCTGCTGTAGTGATGATGCTTTAATTTAGGTCTTGGTATCACTAGGAGCAATGGGATATGGCTGCTTATCATCATAGTTTTCTCACTAGTATTCTTGGCCCATTACACGTAGTGCTGTCACATTACAATGTATGTAAAGAGGTAACACTATAAGCTGGGGCTTGACTCAGCTCCTGAAAACAATGACATCTCAAAGGCTGCTGACTTGGTCTCCAGCAGTTCTTTCACCTCACTCAGTTCCCTACATTTACTTGAAATCTTGTCTAAGCAATAAATAATCCAGAACACATTTCATAGTTTCCTTCAATATTCTATAATTTGTGTCAATTACGAAATCAATTTTCTCCTTTGCTGAAACACCACAGAGGAGTTGAGCAAGCAACAGTGGTGATACTGTGATGCAAACAAAGACATAGTAATCACTGACAAGGTGGCTTTCCTAACATCAATCTAGCTCATCCTCAAACATGGATCTTGCTGGAGCTGATCTTGAAGATGGGGTATTGTTGCTAGTTGACGAGGAAGCGGGGGAGGCATTGCTGTTAACAGTTGGGGGGGATGCAGCTGGTCCTGCCTGAGAACTAGAGGACCTGTTGAGACAAAGTGCTATTACAACTTACAAGGCCCTTGTTACAAGAGATATTTTGACACAAGGAAGTAAGAAATCATGATAAAGCTTACTATCACTGATAGTAGTGGTGTTACAAATGGAAATAAAATCATGTATTCTATACAGTTTGGAGTGATAAGTATTTACACATGATATATTTCATATATAACACAAAGTCACATTCAAAACAAATTCAAATACTCTGAATACTAAGTAACCAGTACCAAGAGTTGTACAATAAGCATGTGAAAACAATAAAAATGCATAGTATTGAATAGTAATATGATGATTAACAGATATATATGTTTCTTCCTCTAATAAAAATAATTTTTCAAACATATGACAATATTCATCAGTTTTTAAAAAATCTTATCTAACCTATCACAATTAATTCATACTACAAATCTGATCCACATTCTGACTTCAACCATGTAGTATTCTCTTACCCAAATTTTTTCTTATACGAATGCTTGAATTATAGATTTGCCATTGTACATCTATGTTACCAATTTCACTTTACAGATCATCATCAGGAAGACTACAGAATTGAACAAAACAGGAGAAAAAATAGGTATACAGGTTTACTTCACAAACTTTCAGTAAGTTTGGTGAATTAAAATCTGCTTTTGCTATCTGGGATTCTACTTTATAATTCCACAATATAAGATGTGCCAACTGTACATAATCAAAACTATTGTTAGGCAAAATAGCAATTCATAAAAATCTAAAAATCCTGACTTACATACAACTTATTGAAATACAAAATACTAACAGCAAAAATGTGTATAATTGAACAGCATAGCTGTGGAAATCCTTAAACCTACACAAACCAAACACTAATAAAATTAACTACTCATGCACTTCATTTGGATAACAAAACAAATCTGACTAAACCTTATGTCACCCAGAAATGAACCTTGTCCCTGGAGATCTTTCTGGAGATGAGAGATGGTGGGAACTACAGATCTATGTGCTCAGTATGAGGGTGATTAAAGGTTACTTGCCTGCTCACCTTGGACCAGGACCAGTACTGCTGTTGCTACTGGTACTTGCGGAGGATGCAGTTCCACCATGGGGAAACTGGCCATCTTCTATCAATAACTTTCGACAAACTGGACATGTGCCATGCTGCAAAGAGAGATGTGATGCCTGGTGAATTCTTGAGATGGTTCACTTTTTTTCTGTACTAATTAGTATATAAAATATGGACTTCATAAATAGACAACCCCATATTGGTATGCTTAGAGACAGTTATGATTCTGCTTTGAACTAAACACAATTATTGGAATAACACAAGTGTGACTGGTGATCTCTGGTGAGCGCTAAATGTTCCATATTATTGGGATAAACTGCAACAAGCTCAAGGCAATCCAAAATATTTTCAAATATGCATAGAGGAAAATCTACAATAAATCTTCTAGACATACAAAACACCAATATAATGTCATGATAGTACTTACTAAATTAAACATACTTTAGTAGGCTGTGTTGTTAGATGAGAGACATTTTTCAATTATTATAATTGCTCTTAGAAAATATAAGAACAACAAATTCTGCTATGTATTTTGTTTACATCAGGAATACTAATCAATAAGATATACATATTCTAAAGATCTTGGTGTTTTAGAAAATAGCTCAATAAATCCTTCAAGAAATAACAGCATTGCTGTGAATGTGTAGAACTATGAAGACAATTCTTTCAAATAAATTATTGTAGCACATGGTAACTAACTCAAGTTCACATACACCTGGCAACCACAACTACTATTTTGGGTTGGCCAAAAAGAAGTCATGATGGAATGCAACCTGAAGTAGTTTACATATAGACTGTACAACAGTCATCTTTATCAAAATATATGCATTTTATGTAATATAAGAATTAGTATTTCAGAGCTTTCAATTTTGTCTGTTCTTGATTGCTAGGATTACTAGCACCATTGTGAAATGCACATTTGTAGCATGAAACTCTAATCATACCATAAAAAAGTAACATCCATATGTAAAGTGTGTTAAAACCAATAAGGTATAATGTTATATATTGTCTTTGAGCATATGGCCTGAACTCATGTATACACTCATTGAATACAATACCGAATTAAAATTCAATATAAATCTAACCAGAAGGAAGATCATTGCTTTAACCCACTTGCAATGGTACATTTCGAGGGCGACAATCCTCGTTTCTCATCAGTATCAAAAACAGCATGTGGGCCAGACTAGGAACCTGCCCACGCGTCACATGTCTTGGGCGTCAAAATCAGAGTGCAAGCTCTGACCTAGCGTCGCACCGGTGGGACAGCCGGCCACTGGCCGTATTCCGGGCATCACATGTGTGACACTGCACAAGTGGCTTAAATATTACAATAACTCATACTTACAAGTTCTAACCAGGGAATGATGCAGTCATTGTGATAACAGTGTTCGCAGTGCAGCCGACGTACACTTTCATCTTCCTTAAAGTCCTCCATACATACTGAGCACTGGAGACCCTGATCTGAAAAAGCAACAACACTGTCAGTAAAAAGTTTCAATGTTCCTTACCTTTATATGACTACAAGCAGAAATGAAGGGTTTTGCACAGAAAGGATCTGACAAGTCACATTTATAATATGCCAGATAAGACAATCAGAATTTGGTAACACGAATAACTACAACCTTTCATAATTTGTCAGATAACACAGTCAGAAATTAGCAACACATAACTAAAACTAAATTACTTTTTCACCTAGCACCTCTCCCTCCCCTCCACCCTCCATCTCACTAGATCTCTCCCTCCCTCTATTTGTTTTTAAGAGGTTTAAACTGTTTTAAAATTTGAATACACTTCAGTAATTTTAATTCTAAGCAGTTATTATATATTTTATGCCATTATCTTCCTGAGCCCGTTGGGAAAAAGGCAGTAGAGAACATAAGCAGCCTGCAGATTGGCACTGACTTCCACTGAGCTATTGTCACCTTACTAACTCCACCTTCACACATCTCTCTTGCTCCCTCAGCTGATGGGATGCTGGGCAGAAGCAGCTTTAGAGTATCAGCAAAATGATGAAGAATGGATGATAATCACGATTAATATATATTTTTTTCTTCTAGCCAAAGCACAAAATAAAACAACCATAAAACATATGGGGAATGTTGGGTATGTTGGATCCTTTCTATGAGCAGTCTGGCATAAAGCACTGGGCCAAAGAGAGAAAGGCAAAAACTGAGAGAATGACAGAGGGGGTGCTACTGTCAATCTGACATGAATTACATCTGAAGCAAAACTGTTAATCCAAGCTGCTTCTACCCCTACACTTTCCATATGCAAAGTATCAATCTCTTAGCCCTCACAAATCTGAAACTGCCTCACCAAACTGTTCTTTGGTGATGCTGACAGTGGGAATCTGAGAAATCTGATCCCGATTGAGCGGCGGTGGCCCTGTGCCATCCAGCTGATTCATCAGTTGCGTGATGATGGCATCCAGCCCCCCCCTCCCCCAGGCATAGTCACCAGGGTTCGAGGCAAGATTGGACGCAACAAGAACAGGGAAGCCCGGTAGGTCAAAGCCCACCTGCGCGCCAGGGAAATCACCCGCCCCAACACTGGCTTCAATCACTCCTGATGTCATTTGCATTATGAGGTCATGGATGAGTGGGGCAAGGGCAGAGTGGCGGTCCCCTCCATTTACTCTGAAATGATAGGTATTATTATTGTCATTATTACTATTATCAATATCATTATTATAATTATTATGATCATCATTGCTATTATTGACATCGTCATGATCATCAACCACTTTACCATTCTTTCATAACATTCTTGTTTTTTTAAGATCATGTGACACTACTATGAAATATAAAAATGTAACAACATAATGTAAAAAAAAAGGAAATATTAGACAGAACAAGAATAAGGGAAAGAAACCCCTTTAGGTCCCTCTTAAAGGTAAGAAAGTGCCCCCCCTTACACCTCTCCTCCCATGCCTTGGGTTGAGGTGTCTGAGTCGCTGGTTCCTGCGTAGTCCAGGGCCAGAGGACGAGGCAGATGATGAGCCTGACCCACCTGGCCCTGTCGACGACACATCCTGGCTGATCATTTCCCACATGTCGTACTGTTCTGATTCCATATCACTGGAGCTGTCACTGTCAGAACCTTGGACTCGCTCGAGTTCTTCAATGAACCCACTGTTACACCGGGGACAAACATATTCCTGCAAGGAAGGAGTTTTGCTTTACATATAGTGGGTCTTTGAAGAATATTCTTACATTCTTAAGTAGTTATCAATATTTTGCTCATAAGAAGACAACCAATACAAAACTTTGTTAATCTCCTACAATCATTGTCTAATTCATAATACTGACATAATACTTTCAGCTCATTTAGCTTTCACAACTAAGAATCTTAACCAAAGCAAGTGCTTAATTGTCTTTTAAAAGACACTTAAAGGGTGGCATTTGACCTATTTGATATCTAATTAATTACAATGTGATAGTATATGCTGCTCTATCACTCTATAATACCCTTGCTCTCTCTACTTTTACAAGGAACTATTTCAGGTTTCTGACTTAAGGGGACCATCCCTGGAGGTGGAGGATTTTGGGATTTTGGGTCGGATCGGTTGAAAATGAGTTATGGTCAGTTATATATTCATATATGAGTGTAGAATTACCCACGTGAATATGAAATCCTGCAACGAAAAATTTGGGCAGCACGCGAAGCCAGAATCCCAAGTCTAATTGCCACCGTGTCAGAGATTTTTATCTTTTTACACTCTCGCTTTACAGGAGCAAAAATTGTATACTGACATTATATGTTAAAAATGATGAAACGACGATGAAAGTATCTTATTATAACAGTTTTATCCCAAAGTGAAAGATTTATATGAAAAATGAAGAAAAATAAAAAATCAGTTTGTGACTTTTCAAATTTCTTTCCCATAAAATAAAGTAGGTATGATTCAATTTTGACATATTCATCTTACAAGTATGTCTAGGGTTTGATGATAATACATGAGCAGTTATAAGTCTGTATCTCTAAAAATAAACTCACAATGATTAGATATTTACACAGGCTGGGCGCTCACCTGTGTTAACAGCCGTCTCAGACAGACCTAGCGGACAGAGTTCCAAGCGTCACTACTGCTTTACTTTTCTGATTGCAATAATTTTACATATGTGGCCTCATTTGAAACTACATAATCAGTTAAACATCATTATGTTAATATATATGTTATTTTATGGGGGAAAAAAAAAAAAAAAAAAAAAAAAAAGTAATGAAGGAGTTTGATATAATTTATTCATGTAAACTCCCAAAATTGGCCTACAAATATCTGATACCTATTGTTAGCCTACATCATAAGATGAATATAAGCGATTTGTATTTCAAAATATTTTTGATCTATCAATGTTTTCTGAACTGTTATTTCTAATGAACAAGAAACAATTCATTGTCCCTCCATAACAAGTACTCCGCTCGTGACTTTGTTTCAAGTGAAATCACTAATGAACAAGAACACAGAAAAACAATTCATTGTCCCTCCATAACAAGTACTCCGCTCGTGACTTGTTTCAAGGTGAAATCACGTGGTTAGACAATGCGGAAGAGTAGACTGGAATAAAAAGAAACTAAATAAATGAAGTAAATATAATTATGGATCTAATAGTATATATGGGGAGAGAGAAAAAAAAAAAAAAAAAAAAAAAAAAATATACATCTTTTTCTGAGGAAACTAAATTGAAAGAAGAAGAGAAAAGAAAGAAGAATAAGAAGAAAAAAAAATTGTAGTTGTCTTAGGAATTCATTGATGTTCATTCACACTCTTCTTCATAACATAATTCATAACCCTCTGAGACAAGTAATCTGCGCAGACACAAGTGAAAAAGAAAAAGAAAAAGAAAAAGAAAAAGAAAAAGAAAGAAAAAAAAAAAAAGAAAAAACATCTTTTTGTGGAGGACATCACCCCCATAAATTTGGTATCAAAAGATGCAGAATATTAAAATATATCAAATATTAAAAAAATCAAGAAAATCCATATGACAGTTTATTTTTTAGAAATATTTACCAATATGGCCCCCTTAACCCCAGAATTCCACCCCCACCCCCGAATTAGGGAGTCCCATTAATGAACATTCAAATAAGAAAGCACAGTATTGCTATCTTTCATTGCCCTTGAGCATATATACTGGCAAAACACAAAATCACCAATGTGTACATGCCTTAGAACAACCCCCCAAACAAATAAACACTCTCTCTCTCTCTCTTTCTCTGAATACATGTATTGGCAATACACAGTCATCCATGTGTATATGAATGGACAAACACTAAAGAAAACTTACTCCCTCTTTCTCACTCTTCTTGTCATGATCAATATCAGCCAGTGCATGCAACCCAGTGCTCCAAATATTAAGTTGCTATAGGATACTACACAGAGTTCTCTTCATTATTCTTTACTTATATCAATTTACATAAACAAAATATATAAAAATCATATTTCACCTTATTTCTTTTATAATGAGTATCTTCCCCATGAATAAAATTTAAAATGTCACCTTTTAAGAGATCTCCAGTCAAGGCAAGCCCGTTTCCTCTCCATCTCCAATATGATATTTCAGACAACACTGTATCAAAGCTGCAGCCTTCACTAATCCCTCAAAGACAATAGATGGATTGTTGGCTTGTAAAGAGTGAGTCAAAAGATACAGAATACAGCAAGGTCATACTGCACAAGCCACCATTACAAAGATCAAAGTGCATGCAAGAATCCAGCAATACATTGCTTCCTTTACACTGTGAACTTTGAAAGAAAGCATGAATGGCCTTGAGGACCTTCCTGACTTGAATGCACAAAAACCATTTTACTTCTTTAATATAATAACAGAACTAAGTCTTCCATTTTTTTTCCACTGTGTTAAGTCTTACATATGTTATTTTTTAACTAGATGTTCTGGCAGCTTTGTAATGTTTATACATATAACTACATATCTATGTACAAAAAGGAACAGCACTCCTAAAAAAAAAATTCACAAAATTACCATCAATCAAACATATTTCTTATTAAGTGGTGTTTCCAAACTGAGAATAGTATATATGTAGAAGCATCTCTATATCCTATATCTAGTATAACATATTTATTCTCTATATATATATTATAACTATATATTTTATACATATATATATACATATTTATATAATTACATATTACATATATAATTAATACATATATACATATACATATAATCATATATACAATTATATAATATATATATACATATATTATATATATATATATATATATATACATATACATATATATATACATTATACATTATATATACATATATATACATATACATATATATATATAATACATATATATATACATATATACATATATTATTATATATTACATATAATATACATATATATACATATATATATATATACAATATATATAATATATATATACATATAATATATATATAATATACTAATATTATACAATATACATATATTATACATATTATATATATATACTATATATATCACAATATATATATAATACATATATATATAACATTATATATATATATATATATAATTATAACACATTATATATCAACATATATGTATTACAGTATTATATACTAAATATATTATATATATATATATCTATATTATATATATATATTATCATATTATAAATATATCATAGCATATATATATACATAATTATACATATATATACATAATACCTCTAAAAACTCATATATACTACATATAAAACCTACTATAACATATACAGACACATCCTCATACCTATACACAATATATTTATACATATGATATATATCATATTATTACATATATTAAACATTATATACATAAATATACATAAATTATATTACACTATACAATATATATTATATACATAATATATACATGTATTACATATATATATACACATACATATTTATATATACTATATATTATATCTATATCTATAACATATATATATCTACATATAATATTCTACATATATCTTACATATCTATACATATTATTCTACAATATATATAGCATATACTATACATTATATATATCACATATATATAGACATATATATTACACATATATATACACTATATATGTATGATATATATATAATACATACATTATATATATACATACATTATATATTAAAATATACATATATATGTATACTATATATCATTACATACATTATATTATATATTATTACATACACTCATACTACTATACATAACCACTATATACTACACCATACACTAACATACTATACTGCTATATACTACTACTACCATCCTACTATACATATATACTATACGATACATGTATACATCATATTTATGCTACTATACGTATACAACTATCATCACATATGTATTATCATATAACACTGATACTATACATATGCCTATATATATACATTATAATACATATATTATACATATATTATTACAATATATATACATATATATAACATACATACATTATATAGTATATACTCACAGATATGCATTAACACACATATATACGAATACATACATACCCGCATACATACCACACACACCACACACACACAATCTAGTAGGTAAATATATTATTATATAATATATATACATATATATATAATATACTATATTATACTACTTACATACACACACATATATACCAATATATATACATACATACATACATACATACTATACTATAACGTATAACTATCATATATAACACTACATAATATATACCATATATATAACATATACTATACATTATATATATTACACAGGTGATGATATACACACATATATATACAACGATATATGTATTACTTCATATGTGTACAGTATAGGTAGTATACAACTATATACATATATATACATACTATATATACATAGTATACATACTATATACTTACATATTAATACTATAACATATACTATACATATATATACTACATCATATACACTAGGTATAGGTGAGTTACCAGTAGTAAGAGAAAGGCTAACTAGTTTTTGATTGACAAAGGTGATTTAGATATGAATATACTAGTCATACACCTTATTACATATTATATACATAGTATACATTACGATATATACATAATATTATTATATTACAATGATAGTACACTATATACATAATATATACATCATATACATTATATAT